CAAACACGGCAAACGAAGCACACTTTTGGATCTCAGGAAGCCTGTTTAGTTGACAGTACTATATTAGCCGATCAGACTCATTAAAAATGGAATAACCTTGTTTGTAATACACAGACGGGTTGCAAGTTGTACTGAATTCAAGCAGTCAACTGCTAAATAATTTATCATTTTGACTGTTTGAGGCGTGTGTCAATTTATCTGTACTATCTCAGCAGCTGTACAGTTCGGTCGTTCACTAATTGTTCTTGTTTGTTCTTGTTCATTTTTTGATTTTATTTGGAAGTCATCGTACAGCCTGTTAGAAACGTTGGAAATTGTTTGGTGAGTCAATTTTTCAAGGGAAGAAAAATAGAGATTAAAAAAAATAAAAAACAGTTTCAGAAGAATTGCCGAAGTTTACTTTCAATGGTTCTTTTTTCATCCGAGTAAATGTTTTTGTATTGAGACATTACGAAAATATAATCATTTTTTCCTCGTAGTATTGCTGTTAAGGTTCCTCAGGTAAAATCTGTAAAATCAAATTCCTTGCTTTTTTTCAGTTTTATACTTATAATGACGATGTATAAAAAAAGGGCTGAAGCTGGAGTGTTAGGTGACAAAAAAGATAAATACATGAAAGATTTACATGTTGCATGGGATGAGCGATGACGTCATTTCGTTCCGTCTGTTTAGTTACCTTTCACCGTTACTCAATTTCTTGGCTCATATGTTACCGTTTCTTTACATTAAACTTGGCTAGAGATTAGTGGTAGCTTGAGATCAATTGGATTTTTGACCGGCTTTTAACAAACGGACAAGGGTTCAGTGTAAAGATTTTCAGTGAAGCATTTGTAATTGGTGTAAAAATTTCTGGGGTTTTTTTTGGTAGTTCCCTAACGTTACTTTAGAGTCTCATTAATTTCTTCAGAGTTGCTGTCCTTCAGTTGCTGCCATGACATTTAAAATGTATTTAGTGAAGTTGGTCCCAGTATCTGGTTTTCAAGAAAATCACGAAAAAAAAATTCTGAAGACTGAACATGTCTCATAAATTTGCTTCTTCTATTCCTCCAAGATGTAGCAAGGACAAGTGCTATTTACGTGCAGAACGTTCATGTTTGTTTGCAAAGGGACGAGAAGCAAAAGCGAAGTGACGTACAGCATGAAATTTAGGTGGGAAGGAAGCTCTCTATCACAGTTTGAACGAAGGATGACCGCGTTTGAGGGTTGTAATTAAGCGGTTTCCAATATTGTTATTTCTGGAGTTTTAAAATATCTCTTGTATGACAGAGATGTAACGTAACTTCTGAAGATTAATAATTCCTTCTGCCTCGATTTTACGTCAAAATAACTTCCAAATTATCTCTTGTATGACAGAGATGTAACGTAACTTCTGAAGATTAATAATTCCTTCTGCCTCGATTTTGCTTCAAAATAACTTCCAAATTTTTACTTCAGTATCATTTTGACAACTAATACTTATGGCCGTTATGGGACTGTTAATACGGTTGTTAACTGCGCCATTTATAGGCGCCGTCATTTCTAATTTCCATTTCGTGGC